CTCCTTCTCCCCTTTGTCTCATGCATGTATGGGCGTGTGTGAGTTCTTCTGTGTGTGAGTGGCAAATAAATTGTCAGACAACCAAGTTCATAACAGTTGGTATCGGAGCGGAGATTGGACTTGGAGCTCAGAGGGTTGAGATCAACAGGGGCATCCTCTTCTTCTGGCCCTAACTGGCGAGAAGTTCCATGGCGGCTCTGCATCTTCAGTGAAGATCCAGTAGAGAAGAGGACAAACAAGCGGTGATTGCAAAGCATCAGTGTGCGATTGATCAGGCACCCTGAGCCTGTCTGTGTGCCTGACAGGAAGTGGCGAGAACAAGGGTATTTCGCCATCCACCCTTCTGACCTTAGTTGATGACTGGGATCAGGGTGGCGAATTACACCCTAATCCACTGATAACTGGGTGGCGGCTTCAATCCTAGTATAGCGCTGAGGGAGGATTGATCACAGGATCAATCTCCTGCTGAATTAACCCTACCCAGGGCTAAATTTAGCACCAGCGGCTTACCCCTGCAGTGGCCAGATATCTTCAAAAGAGTTTTCTCCCGCCACTGAGGCAGATCCAAGGAATCTGAGAGTTGGGGCTGAATCCCCACATCATACTGGACCAGATCAACAAGTTTCAGGAGATTCTACGCGTGGGAATCAGTGGAAGAGTGTTTGCATGCAAGTGGCGAGACCAGGGTCTGGCAGCCATAGCCTGAGCTTCATCATCCACTGAGTCAAACACTTCAAGGGAGTGCGTTCCGTGTGAATCCCTGAGTAGCGATTAGATTAGTATTAGAGAGTCTGAATTGATGATCTGTCTGTCAGTAGAGTCACAATTTTGAAATTGTCAGACTGCAAGACAGCCATAGCTATCTTCTTCCTCCCTACCCTGACTCATATCTCATCATCTACTGACCTGTTCTGACTCTAAATTGTTTTGGGACTGTATGACAGTATTGTGCTGCACCCTGTGTGATCATTCTGTGGATTTTGTACAGAAAAAGTGGTCATACTGGGGATTTGAGTTTTGCGCTGAGTCTATTTATAGTCTGTACTATCTAGGGTCAGTCATAACTCAAAATCTGTCCGTCAGAATTCCAGTCTGTCAGTCTGGGGTGAATCGCAATTCAGTTTTTGTCATCTGTGCCGCTAGCCCAGAATTGGTGAATTTGAGTCAATACAGTGAAATACTGAAAATCGCAAAATTTGGGAGTATTTCTGTTGATGTCAACAGTGGCGAAATTTGAGTTTAGGGCTGTCAGGGTGTAGTTTACTGCATCGCTACTACTTGTTGTGTTTCAGTCAGTTCTTGCCTGTGTCCATCACTACCACTAATTTTCTTTGTTTTCTAATGGGCTCTGGAATGTTAGTGACCCTGGGATACACTGAACGTGATAGTTGCAACTTCAGTGGAAGTTCAGTGTCAGGCAAAGGAAATCGTTAGTGAATGGTTTCACTGGACTAATAGTCAGTCTGATTACTGACCCCAGTGGTTGTATTCTAACCCTAACCGCTTGTGCCCATTAACCCACCTTACCCTGTGAACTGACTGTGCAGCGATTTCTAGGTATCTGAAGGAGTTGAAAATCGCTGCATTCCAGGCTGTCTAATTTTGTTATCTTATTGTTTGAAAGGGAAAACACCCCTGCTCAGCGGCGTAAGAGAGAGATTCAAGAGAAACTGCGAGAGCAGCAGGCACTATTCGGAGAAGCAGAGAGACAGGAAGCTGCTGAGATGGAGGCTGCAACAGATGCTTCCAGAAAGGAGTTTCTGCTGCAGCGGGCAGAGAAGACCATGTCTGATGAGAGAGTGGCCCAGTGCACAAAGTATCTGGCTGAGCTGGTAATTCTGCAGAACAAAATCACAGCCAGCCACTTTACTAACCGGGACGAAAGAATCCAGCGACTGGAGACCAGGGTGAGGGACCTGGGAACTCAGCAGTCTAAGATCCTGGACTCTATCCAGAATCTGACTGCTCAGTTACGAGCCGCCAACCTGATCAGTCCTTTGGTCCCTGTGGTCCCCTCTCCCAAGCCCAAACAGTCTTCTCCTCCTTCTCCACCTCCTGGATCTCCTCACTCCTCTCACAAGTCATCTCCCTCTGTCTCCTCCCAGGCCAAAGCCAAACCTCCTCCCACCTTTGCTGCTGTTGTTGCTGGGGACCAGCGAGGCCCCAAGATCCCTGCCCCCAGCAAATTCAAGGGGGATGACCCCAAAGTTGATGTTGGGGACTGGGCAGCAGGAACCCTCGCATATCTCAAGGGGTTCCAGTGCCCAGAACAGCAAAAGGTGGCCACCGTTGTGGGGCTGCTGGAGGGCCCAGCCCAGAAATGGGCTACATCTACAGCCAGTGCCCAGCAGTAGACCCTGGAGGATTGGTCATTGGCACTGGGGGTTGACAAACTTTTGCAGCCACTGGAGGATAGGTTTGCAGACAAAGAGCGTGCCCGCAAAGCTGATGATAAAATTGTACGCCTGGGCCAGCAGCGTTACAGCGGCAGTCTGCAGGCCCTGTTTGCTGAATTTGAACAGCTAACCTCCACCCCTGGATTAGTTATGTCTGCTGATGATTTGTTGACTAACTTTTGCAGGGCTGCGCCTGAAAAGTTTTGTGTTGCATTGTACAGCGCAGGGCATAAAGACTGGAGGTCATTCGGCCGCGCAGCACTGGACATGGAGGCCAAACTTCATGTCCAGGCCCCTTCCAGTGACAGGAAGAAGGGCGCTTTCCCTCGCCGTGGTAGAAGGGGAAAAGCGGCCTTCCCCCACGCAGGATCTGCCTCATCATCTAATGCAGGATCCCGGCCTCGTACACCGCCAGGTGGGACTGCAGCAGATGCTGTCACAGATGTTACAGCGGCCATGCAGCAGCTGCAGGCTGCGCTGGGGGCCTTCCAAAAGGTCGGGCCTACCTCCAGCACAGCCTCCAGCAGCAAGGGGAAGAGCCAGGGACGTCGCTCTTCAACCCCTGCCCGACGCCCTAACTTGCCACGTTACGTCCGTTTCCCAACAGACCCCCTAAATCCCAACACCCTTCCCTGGCATGATTTGAAGATCCAGGAAGGGGTGTGGAGAAAGAGGAAGGAGAGGGGAGTCTGTTTGAGGTGTGAGGGACAACATTTTTTGAAAGACTGTCCCTACATGCCTAGCCCTGCTCAATCAAAAAACTGAAGCTGAACCTGGAGACTGCAGTTCCCTCCAGTGCTGCACCTGCATCAGCATCTGCAGCAGCTTCAGTTGAGACTTGCATCCTTCCCAGTGTGGGGACTGCGCGGGCAGCATCCTTCACCTATGAGGATCCTGACCCGGTCAGGAACCGGATCAGTCTGAGTGTCAGTCACTTGCTGCTTTTTTCTTCCATCTGAAAGAACAAAAGCGGAATAAGTCTGATCTCATACTCCTTCGGCCCCTGATCGGTAACAGCAGAATCAAAGGGCTGCTGGACTGTGGAGCCACCCGAAATTTCATGTCCCCCAGTGCAGTCAAAAAACTGCATCTGGGCATGAAAGTGGTGCAACTGCAGCAACCGCTGCAGGTCAGGATAGGTGACTCCGCTGTTCTGACCATTAGGGAGAAGGTCAAGGGTATCCCTGTGACCTTCGACAATGCTGGAGAAGTCAGACATAGTCTGAACTTCTACATATTCCCTAATCTACCCTTTGACCTTGTTTTCTCCATGCAGTGGTTGAAAGCAGTCAACCCAAGGATCAACTGGCATATCCCGAAGGTTGAACTGCCAAACAACAAGGGGGTGTATCAGCCATGCATGATTGCAGCTGAACACCACCCTAAGTCCTCATGCTTCTGCCTGAGAGCGAGAGAGTTCTATGCTCTCTCACGCCAGTACGATCATGAGCGTCTGTTTATAGCTCTGGTAAAGCAGACAGACGCCCCCACTACTCTCTGTCCTCCTGAGATACAACAGGTAGTTGACCAGTACGCTGATCTGATGCAGGAGCCCTTTGGGCTACCCAACCGGCCAACCAAGCATCACATTGAGCTGCTGCCTGGAGCGGTCCCTCCCAAGGGCCGCATCTACAGGATGTCACCTGCTGAGATTGAGGAGCTCGGACGTCAGCTTGAAACCCTGACCAGCAAGGGCTGGATCAGGCCCAACACTTCTGAATTCGGTGCTCCAGTCCTCTTTGTTCCAAAGGGGAGTGGCGAGTTCAGAATGTGCATCGACTACAGGGGTCTCAACAAAATCACTAGGAAGAGCACAGAGCCACTTCCTAGGATTGATGACCTTCTGGATATGGTCCAGGGATGCACCATCTTTAGCAAAGTCGACCTCAAGTCTGGTTACCACCAGATTGAGATGGCAGAGGAGGACGTCCACAAGACGGCCTTCAAAACCAGAGGAGTATCTGGTTATGCCATTTGGACTTTGCAATGCACCTGGCACCTTCCAGACAGAGATGCACCGCATCTTCAGGCCGTACCTGGATAAGTTTATGGTTGTCTACCTGGATGATATCCTGGTATTCAGCAAAACTACCAGGGAGCATGCGGAGCACCTGGCTCTGGTTCTTCAGTTGTTACGTGACAGCCAGTACAAGATTAACAGGGAGAAGTCCTCTTTGGGAATTCCCTCTGTCATCTACCTGGGTCACGTAATCTCTGGAGATGGTCTGGCCCCTGAAGCAGCCAAGATTGCTGCTATTCAGGATTGGCCACAGCCCCAGACAGTGAGAGATGTCCGGTCTTTCTTAGGTCTGGCCTCCTACTACAGAAAGTTCGTCAAGAACTTTTCTGCAGTGGCTGCACCCCTGACTAACCTCACAAAGAAAGACACTCCCTTTCTTTGGTCTCTTCACTGCCAGATGGCCTTTGCACGACTCAAACAGGCCTTGACTCGTGCACCTGTTCTGAAGTTACCTGACCCCACCTTGCCTTTTGTCCTGACGACTGACGCCAGTCAGTATGGCATTGGGGCAGTACTTCAGCAGGATGATGGGAATGGTCTGAGACCTGTCGAGTTCATGAGTACGAAGATCAAGACTCAGAAGCTTCAGGTTTCTACCTACGAGAAAGAGTTGTATGCTCTTGTCAGTGCCCTGAAACATTGGAAGCACTTTCTCCTGGGCAGGCACTTCAAGATCCTTTCTGATCATTCCACTTTACAGTGGTTGAAGTCCCAAGGAGAGTTGAACGACAAATTGGCACGTTACATTCAGTTCATTGATCTGTTTGACTTTGAACTGAAACACAAGAAGGGATGCTACAATAAGGTAGCTGACGCCCTCTCTCGTAGGCCTGATTCTTTTGCGCTGATCTCCTCTACTCACTCCTTTGGAGAGGAGGTCCCTCAGACCATCACTCGCCTACTACCTCAGGATCCGACTTATGGACCCATCGTCAGGAATCTGCAAGCAGATCCCAACTCTGAACCTGGCTATGCTATGAGTTCAGATCTGTTGTACACTTACAGCAGAGGAGAGGAGCGCTTGTGTATCCCTGAGGATCAACAGCTGAGTACACTGCTGATGTCAGAGTGCCACGATGCACGTGGGCACTTTGGGTTCTTAAAGTCGTATGCAGCCCTATCGCAGCGCTTCTTCTGGAAGGAGATGCGGAGTGATATGCTGCGCTATGTGGAAACTTGTGAGCTATGTCAGAGGAACAAGGTTCAACGTACACCTCCTCTGGGACTGCTCAAACCCTTGCCCATACCTGATGGTCCTGCACAGTCTGTATCCATTGACTTCACAAACTTAGGCAAGACCAGCCCTCGGGGCATGCGTCAGGTCATGGTCTGCGTTGACAGGTTTTCCAAATACGCAGAGTTCATCCCCTTACCAGAGGTGGCGAGGGTCCTGGCTGTGAGAGCAGCCTTTTCTAAGAGGTGGGTCACACACCATGGACCGCCCACTTCTATTGTCAGCGATCGAGATCCCCGATTCTGCAGCGATGAGTGGCAGTCCTATTGTAAGGACTACCTGCATTCTCAATTGGACATGACCTCTGGTCGTCATCCTGAAGCCAATGGTCAGGCTGAAGTGATGAACCAGATCTTGTTCCAGTTGCTGCGTCCTAACATCTCACTAGATCAACAGGACTGGGACCTCCATCTCGCTCGTGCATAGCTTGTATATAATATGTCTGTCCACTCCTCGACTGGATTCATTCCCTATCGATTACACTGGGGACGAGAGCCACGTCAGCCTCTCGATGATATCATCGACAAGGCTAAGACAGACCTGACCCCAGGCACTGCTGAGTTCACCAGACGCTATCGTATGGATGTGGAAAGAGCTCGGGCGAACTTGTTCAAAGCCCAAAAGGCTATGATTGAACAAGCTAACCGCCATCGCCGCCCTTCCCCCATCCGCACCGGTGATTATGTCTGGGTGGCCAGTTCAGAGTTGTCGAGGGAGGAGGACATTTCTCCTAAGTTGTTGCCACGATATCTGGGTCCGTGGCACGTGTTAGATACAGTAGGGGCCGATCCCTTTGGTCCATCCTACACCATTAACGTCCCTCTGCATCTACGTACCTATCTGGTCTTCCATGCATCTAAGTTGCTTCCCTTCACCCCAGCTGATGCATTCCCTGACCGGCCCCCTCAATGGGGCCCACCAATCCCTGGTAAGGGATATGACGTGGTGGCCATTGAGGATGAGTGGGGCACTTGCCCCGACAGGCAGTATCTTGTAAGGTTTGCCTTCCAACCACCGACTGAGAATCGGTGGTATTATAGGAAGGACCTTCTCAAGACAACCAAGTCTGTTGTACTGCGGTATGAGGCGGCTCAGAAAGGTAACCTTCGCCGTTCACCTCGCCTGCACCCCTAGCTCGGAGGTCCTCGCTCCCGGGGAGGGTAAGCCTGCAATGACTTGCTGATTTCTGCTGCCGAGATCGACTGCGAGGCTGTACACTAACCGGTAGGGTTAGTTTTGTAATTTTGTTTGGCTGAGGGCTAACCGAGAGATCCGTCTGTGAGGAAATTCGTGAGGGACAGATCTGCAAATCCGGGAAAATACAGGCCCGGTACTAACCGAATTCCTACAGCTACCCTAA